TGAATCACGATACGAAAAAAACCGCGTGACACTATCTTCGTCAGACATGACTCATGTTATAACTCACGTCAAGTTGTCTCCTATCTGGTAACAAACACGAAAACCCAAATGCTCTATCACCTTTTACACACAACAACACTGCGACATATTTTCAATTTCTGAAAGAAATATTAGGCTTATGTTGTTGGTTTGGTTGTTATTAAACTCCGCCGCACTCAGCAATATTCCAGCTATATGACGGCGCTCTGTAAATAATCGAGTCTGGAACAAACATTCCAGTGATTGGCATCATGAGCATTTATCTACGCAATTTGAATACGACATGCATCAACCATGTCAGCGAGCCTGACCACCCGATCCCGTTAGTCGACTCTTACGACAAGCATAGTCGCCTTGTACGGCAAGCTTGGGTTGCTGAAGACCTGTTCTATCCCGGATCTTCACGGGTATGCAAATGTGAAACTGAATTATGAACAAATACGGTTGAAACGGCCCTGTGGAGACAAACCGCGAACTCAGTGACTGAAAGTGTGGGGGGCCAATACCCGATCACAAGGACAACCTCCGTGCTTGGCAACAGTGTCAGAACAACTACAATAAAAGCCAAAACGGGGGTGTAAATCAATAGCGGGTTATGTCAGTTGTAATTTACCATTACAACCTAATGAGACAAAATGTTGATCAAACATGCTTTACACACAGTTTGATTCATACATGTGTCCGTCGTGTGGATTATGAAATACTATATGTCTATAAAGATTAATGCAGATATTGGCTTCCCTCGGTTTGCCGTCTCTCCCTGTGGTTTAATTACATTTAACCCCATGTATCCTGTCGCCTATACCCTGTAGTGTGTTGGTGTGCGGTCGGGAAGCCAAGTGGTTAAAGCGTTCGCTCGTCACGACAAAGACCCGGTGGTTCGATTCCGTACATGGTACAATGTGTGAAGCGAATTGCTGACATGCAACACCGTAATATAGCTAGAATAATGCAAAAAAAGCAGTAAGACCTTTTGCTCGTCATGGCGATCACCCGGATTCTACAGAGCTAGTTTGTTTGTTTGTTGTTTAACGCCACACTCAGAAGTATTCCAGCTATATAGCGGCGTTCTGTAAATAATCGAATCTGGACCAGACAACCCAGTGACTAACAGCATGAGGGAAGGTCGGGTATAGCCTAGTGGTTGAAGCGTTCGCTCTTCACGCTGAAGACCCGGGTTCGATTCCCGACATGGGTACAATGTGTGAAGCCCATTTCTGGTGTCCCCCGCCGTGACATTGCTGGAATATTGTTAAAAGCGGCGTAAAACCAAACTCACTGCCAAGTAAGAACACAAACATCGCGATGTTTGAGGTCTCCGCGATCTGCATTTTTCAGACAATCCTTGGTTGGTTGGTTTGATGTTTAACGCCGCACACAGCAATATTCCAGCTATATGACGGCGGTCTGTAAATAATCGAGTCTGGACCAGACAATCCAGTGATTAATATCATGAGCATCGATCCGCGCAATTGGGATCGATGGCATGCATCAACCAAGTCAGCGAGCCTGACCACCCGATCCCGTTAGTCGCCTTTTACGGCAAGCATGGGATGCTGAAGACCTATTCTACCCCGGGATCTTCACGGGTCCAGACAATCTTTGAAATTGGCCAACATAGGAACATTTTGTTGCGGTTCAAAGGGCTGTGTAATGCCGAATGCACAATGACGTCCATGTCCTTAACTAATATAGGTAATCTTGGGCGAGCCTCCTTACTGCAGGGGTGTCAGAAAGCTGTAATTCTATTCCCAAATTGAACAGCTTCAGTATTTGCTCTACTGGTTGGATAATGAAGGGAGCGTCCATTTGATTTGTATATGGGAGGGGGATTTGTTATTAGAACAATTGTACTTTCCCAAACTATCTATTTGCTGATCATCAAGAAGAAGATCCGGGGTAGAATAGGTCCTAAGCAACCCAAGCTTGCTGTAAAAGGCAACTATGCTTGTAAGAGTCGACTAACGGGATCGGGTGGTCAAGCTCGCTGACTTGGTTGATGCATGTCATCGATCCGAATTGCGTGGATCGATGCTCATGATGTCAATCACTGGATTGTCTGGTCCAGACTCGATTATTTACAAACTGCAATCATATAGCTGGAATATTGCTGAGTGCGGCGTTAAACAACAAACCAACCACTATAAACACAAAAATTATGTTTGGGTGTTCTGTTTTTTCACAAAACAAACTATTGATTTCTTTTCACCACTGCCAACAAACTATTCATTTTGGGCCCATTTCTGAACAGACTATTCATTTTGGGCCTATTTCTGAACAAAATATTCATTTACCCATCCCCTAGAAATCAGATGGATGCTCCTTCACAGAGTATAACTTTACTCTTTGTCTTTTTCACACGCTGTCGATACTTTTCCTCGCCGTTAACTGATATGCGTACATGCTTTAAGCATAAAGAAACTAAGAATATCTTGTTCGTGTTTCAAGGCATTCAATATCTTACTTTGGGAGGTCCCAAATAAGGGTATCTACTTAACAAATTTGTGTGTAAAAACTCTGCATAATTATACGCGGAGTAATATTTCTGCATCTTCAGTTATCTTTTTCCGAAAGAAAATCTCACTGTGCACGGGGCACGTGTCTCCTGCATCATGTGTCTGGAAAGTCATATGTGAATGAGTGAAGGTGAGTAACTGTGTTGGGTTTAACAGTATTCTAGTTTTTTATGGCGAGGAAAGCCCGAATAGATGCAGGTCTCAGATGTTTACCACTTGGTGAAACCAGGGGTATGGTGCTGACAAACCTAGAGACACAATCGGGGCTAACCGGGATTCGAACCCACAATTATAGATTTTCGCCGTGCCCAAGTGATGCAACTCTACTTTACATACATAATCACAGTGTTACGTGCGAGACGGGCTGTATTATGTATTTAATGAGCAAATATTGAATGAGTGAGTGAGTGAACTTTGAACAGTATTTCAGTTATATCACTCGTGGTAACTAAATTTGGAAGGAAACCCCGAGACAATGCAAGTATTAGGCGTTCACCACTGTGATCAAGCCTACGAGCACGGGTATGGTCCCGAGACAATGCAAGTATTAGGCGTTCACCTCTGTGATCAAGCCTACGAGCACGGGTATGGTCCCGAGACAATGCAAGTATTGGGCGTTCACCACTGTGATCAAGCCTACGAGCACGGGTATGGTCCCGAGACAATGCAAGTATTAGGCGTTCACCTCTGTGATCAAGCCTACGAGCACGGGTATGGTCCCGAGACAATGCAAGTATTAGGCGTTCACCACTGTGATCAAGCCTACGAGCACGGGTATGGTCCCGAGACAATGCAAGTATTAGGCGTTCACCACTGTGATCAAGCCTACGAGCACGGGTATGGTCCCGAGACAATGCGAGTATTAGGCGTTCACCACTGTGATCAAGCCTACGAGCACGGGTATGGTCCCGAGACAATGCAAGTATTAGGCGTTCACCACTGTGATCAAGCCTACGAGCACGGGTATGGTCCCGAGACAATGCAAGTATTAGGCGTTCACCACTGTGATCAAGCCTACGAGCACGGGTATGGTCCCGAGACAATGCGAGTATTAGGCGTTCACCACTGTGATCAAGCCTACGAGCACGGGTATGGTCCCGAGACAATGCGAGTATTAGGCGTTCACCACTGTGATCAAGCCTACGAGCACGGGTATGGTCCCGAGACAATGCAAGTATTAGGCGTTCACCACTGTGATCAAGCCTACGAGCACGGGTATGGTCCCGAGACAATGCAAGTATTAGGCGTTCACCACTGTGATCAAGCCTACGAGCACGGGTATGGTCCCGAGACAATGCAAGTATTAGGCGTTCACCACTGTGATCAAGCCTACGAGCACGGGTATGGTCCCGAGACAATGCAAGTATTAGGCGTTCACCACTGTGATCAAGCCTACGAGCACGGGTATGGTCCCGAGACAATGCAAGTATTAGGCGTTCACCACTGTGATCAAGCCTACGAGCACGGGTATGGTCCCGAGACAATGCAAGTATTGGGCGTTCACCACTGTGATCAAGCCTACGAGCACGGGTATGGTCCCGAGACAATGCAAGTATTAGGCGTTCACCACTGTGATCAAGCCTACGAGCACGGGTATGGTCCCGAGACAATGCAAGTATTAGGCGTTCACCACTGTGATCAAGCCTACGAGCACGGGTATGGTCCCGAGACAATGCAAGTATTGGGCGTTCACCACTGTGATCAAGCCTACGAGCACGGGTATGGTCCCGAGACAATGCAAGTATTAGGCGTTCACCACTGTGATCAAGCCTACGAGCACGGGTATGGTCCCGAGACAATGCAAGTATTAGGCGTTCACCACTGTGATCAAGCCTACGAGCACGGGTATGGTCCCGAGACAATCACAGTACGCGAACCGTGATTTTAACCCACCGTTTAGGGGGCGCACGTCTGTACCACGATTTGCGGCGCCTTAGACGACAAGGCCACCCGTGCCTTCTCAAATATTTTGACAGTTATATGATGTTGATGTTGTTTGTTTTTTAACGCCAAACTCAGCAATATTCCGGCTATATGACGGTGCTCTGTAAATAATCGAGTCTGGACCAGACCGTCCAGTGATTGATATCATGAGCACCAATCCATACAATTGGGACATGCATCAACCAAGTCAGTAGGCCTGACCACCCGTTAGTCGCCTCTTACGACAAGCAGTGCCTTTTACGACATACATGGGTTGCTGCAAACCTATTGTAACCGGATCTTCACGGATCTGACAATTAGGAGATAACCCTAATGTCTTTTGAAATTTGAGGTAGTCTTACTGCAGGTACGCTGCCTCTTACTTTAATTGGGAACCGAGCGCTTTACATGTTGTCAATCATACCAGTGTTAACCCAAAACTACATGAGGACAAGGTCTACACAGCATAACGTATCCGTGTTTGTGGAGTTTCATCTTGACAAATGAACACGTTTGAGCCGGTTGTTTGTAAATACTTTTATTCAAAGCAAATTCCACAAATCATAAATCCCAAGTGTGGCGCATTTGATCAATTATTGTTGTAAAATAAATAATAAATAATAAAAACATTATATTGATAATTATGCTGGTATGACTACATACCGTATGGAAGGAATCATGAAAACATAAAACAAATAATCAGCGCAGTATTTATTATTAAAACACAGCCATTGGATGACCCTCGATAATAAACAACTGACAGAACGTTCATTCTGACAAGGACATGTTGTAACAACGTTTCACAGCTCAATCTGGAAGTGGCACTTCGTTGATTTCGATATAGTACTGGAGACTGGTGTCGTTGTGAGTAGCTTTTAGAAAGCTTCAATTTGTATAAAAATGATAAATAGTAATTAACACAGGCGTTGCTTCATTATGAAACCGGATATTGGACAGTATATGCCACTCGAAAAAGACGAACACAGCTTGACTGATATAATATACAACAGCACAAACAAACAAACAAACAAACAAACACACACAAACACACACACACACACACACACACACACACACACACACACACACACACACAAAGTGTTTCTCTCTTTACTCGTGTTCGGCAAGTAATTCAGTTAATGTTGTTTTTCAATCGTTTAATACCGTTCTATGAGGTCACTGGATTGCCTGGTCTAGACTTGCTATCACAATGTCGAATGTTTACATTCGGCCGTCGTATGGCAGAAGTATTGCTGAGCGCGGCGTTAGGTACAAACAAACACTTTCTTTCCTTAATGAATGAGTGAGTTTGGGTGTTTGGTTTTACGCCGCTTTAAGCAATATTCCAGCATTATTACGGCGGGGGGACACCAGAAATGGGCTTCACAAATTGTACCCATGTTGGGAATCGAACCCGGGTCTTCGGCGACACGAACTAACGCTTTAACCACTAGTCTACCCGACCGCCCACTACTTCTTTTGCGTAGTATACATTGATAAACTACTAGATTTGAATGGATGGCAGGACGGGATGCAATTGGGAGAAAACATATAATGGCTTCTGTGGTGGCCACGACAAACGCGTTCGTGGGGTATAATGGGGTCAAAAGTGAGGGAATTTGGCGGATATTTTTTTATTAACTCCCAGAATATTATTCTGTAGCTAGTGAGATAATTTGAGTCTCAAGATGAGAAACAGATAGCACCGATTCAGACTCAAATATCACATAGCTGTAGCCTAAAGTTGTGACGTCTCTTTGTATGTTAATTCTCACTCGGGAAATACGCCTAAATAACGAAGTGTGGGGATGTCCCAGCAAATGCTTGAAAATAATAAATTATGCGTCAGAGAAGTTTTCGGCCACAAAGTTACATTGTCGCAAATATCCAGTCTCCGTACAAAATCCCAGTGCAACCCCCAACAAATAAATATCAAATGTTCGGTCCCCACTTCTCCCCTATAACTTCCTTCCGTTCCCATGGACAGCGGAGGCTATATCGGAACAACTGGCAGGTCAAACAACTTTGAAGCTGTGCATTCACACAACCTTTATTCGTCTTCTATTCACCATGATCATTAAAAAACACACACGAATACAGACAAAGCAGGATACCATCAATGTCTAGAAGTGAATACACCATCATATAGTCTCCTGATTCCACGAAACCGAAAGGAATACATTAACCTGATCTCACTTGGAAGTTATTGCAACAAAAGGCACCCACGGGTTTAGCGAAGCTTTTTATAAGTCACCACCAGCTCTTTTCCGTCAGATCCATTTAGACCCGGAATGGATTTTGTAATGAGACCAGATATTTTTTTACTATAGCTGCAAAAACAAGATATATTTTTAATTAAAAATATGGGGCAAACCTTTTTTTATGAAAATTATTTTCTTTCCAGCTGTTGGAAGCATAATCATTTTTAACAATATTTTTCGGAGTCATTTATTTTTTCGATAAAATACCATGCCATGCCATTGCTGATCAACCATAGTCATATGAAACAATTAGGTGTTATTTAAAGTAGTAAACAGGTCAGAATCAGGTCTTCGGTAACATCCAACATACTTTAACATACTTTAAGGACGGAAGCATGAACCAGACACGGGGATTCTTCTACCAGTTCATGGGCATAAATTCTGGAGAGGTATAATTACACTTTGTGAGTTGTCGTTTCATGAAACAATACATATTGTCTTCTCGCTGTCTAAAGAACGCCGCTATCCTCCCAAGTCCGCTGTTGGTGATCAGTAGCGTGTCACAATGACTCAGCGCTTCCTGGTCCAGTATCACCTTCCGGAAGCCGTCACATTGAGGTGCCTTGTCCACATGCGCAATGACACCCGGAAGTGTTACGGAATTGTTTGGGAAACGTCTAAGGCTCTCCTTTCTTATATTTTCTGAATCTGTTGACACAAATATTTTATATTTTGACGTATCGTTATACTGTTCCAGAAATGTCCATATTGTTTTCACACTTTTATCATCGTTTCTTGTCTCACTATCATTTGGAATGCTTGGATTCTTCCCCATACGAATCTGTGCGCAAATAAGAGAATAATTCCTTGGAACGAGAGATAGGAATTTATCCAGATCCTTTTGCAAAGGATCCTTTAAACGAAACAACGTCCTCCACGATCTGGCATAGACCTCACCAAGAGAAGCGTTCACAATCCATCCTAGATTATTCCTGTGTATATTATTCTTCTTCAAATATCGAACAAATTCGATATTGAGAGTGAGGTATGTTATATTTTCTGTGAAAATTTTGCTGACGTCAGCAGTCGCCAGTTTCTGTCGTAATGGATTTGCCGATCTATCGAGCTTTTTTAACGTCTGCGATTTGAGTTTGTGAGTCTCTGGACTGACTATCCAGTCCACCTCGTTTGGGCTTAAAAAGGTAGACAACTCACAAGGTTTGTTCATCTCTATGCCGAATCCCCGGCCCGTCATTATCGACATCACGTAACCAGCAACGATACCCTTCTGGCGATCTGCATATCCACCGCAGAGATGTCCTTTCAAGCACCTGTAAATTATATACGGAGATGGTTTGACCTTGACCATCTTACCGGATGTTGCATTGATACCTGACGCTTCTGGTCCCGCCATGCGGACACTTGAAGGATGCATTGTAGTCACCAGATGGTGTGGTGTGCTCAACTGTGCATAGCTCAGCAGTTGACCTGGAGACGACCGTTGTATGGCTTGAGGGAGGCCATTAATGGCTGTTGTTGCTGTGACGTCGGCAGGATGAACTGGTAGGTACCTGGAGACCAGGGACATGGTGACAATGGCGGTATTGGTCTTGACTACCACGCCGTAGAGGGCTAACATGACGGCGCCCGTGACAACACTCACGACGACGATGCGACGGAACATTTGCTGCGAGACAAGACAAAGATAGTTGGTTACAAAATGAACATTCATATGTATCAAATTGCACAGCATTGAACATACAGTCCATATTCGACTAGGATTCAGTAAATAGAGTTAGAGTGTACATATTGGTCGAAGTCTTGATTTTAATTCTGGGCAATCCAGATTTCAGATTTATGGTCTCCGGCAGTTTCTGAAATTAATACACATATTGACACACAAACAACCCATGTAACATCCACAATTTGATTGACCTGTGGCTCTTCATATAGTGTATTTTTAGTTTTGTTTTGTTTGTTGTTTAACGCCGCAGTCAGCACTATTCCAGCCATGTGACGGCGGTCTGTAAATAATCGAATCTGGACCAGACAATCCAGTGACAGACATGAACATGGATCTACGCAATTGGGTGAGTGAGTGAGTATGGTTTGACGCCGCTTTTAGCATTATTCCAGCAATATCACGGCGGGGGACACCAGAAATGGGCTTCACTCATTGTACCCATGTTGGGAATCGAACCCGGGTCTCGGCCATGACGAGCGAACGCTTTAACCAGTAGGCTACCCCACCGCCCCTACGCAATTTGGATACGATGACAGGCATCAGCAAAGTCAGAGAGCCTGACAACACGGTCCCGTTAGTCGCCTCTTATGGCAAGCATGTGTTGCTCTCTGTTCGGCTATAGAGCATTTCAGTGCATTTCGCCTAAAGTGGCGATCGCTTACAGAAAAGCTGTTTTAAGCGCACTTTGTCTACACTATGACAAATTCACCCCTCACATTAATTGCAGAGTAGCCCAAAGTATTTTGCATGTTATTTTTACTTTTATTAAACCTGTAAGTTGCTTTGAAACATGGTAGGGAACTCTATGTGTTGTCATAAGTTACCAATCCTTTGTAGAATGAAGAAAATAGAAACAACCAACACATTTTCAAATGAAAGACAATAAGATTAACTGACTTAACTAGGCAAACAAGAGAACTCAACACCCATAACAGAACATATATTGAAAATGTAAACGAATCGTTACGTAGTCTAATGATGGCTATCGTCAGACTGAAGGAACATCTACTACACCTTTATTAAAGATTCGCCATGTTTTGAAACATATTCATTCATTTCTAAACCTTTACCTTATTTTAGAACAGTGTCTGATATTTACCAGTGGCAGTGATAATTAAGTATTGTAAGGCCTTTACTTGGTTAAATATTTTAAGGGTTAAAATGTATTTTATATTTTCATTGTAAGAATTTTACAAATGTCAAATGTTTGTCATTATCACACATATACACACTATATATACACTACAAGTACAAAAATCAGTCCTTGTTTGTAGACAATGGCATTGCATGGATAGGTTCATTACGGTATAGGGATGAAGGTTTTGCTATTGTGTCCCCTGAACCATGAAGATGTTTTTGATACTACTGTAGGCAAAGCGCACTGTAGGCAATAGAAGTTGACCCGGATTTAACCCGGATGTTGACGGTGGTATTTTTAGTCTCTGGCTTGTCACAACATCCAATAGAATACAGTTAGAGTGTTTTTAACATGAGCTAAACAATTATCTGGACCTTTATCTGGATTCCAACCCTAATAATTAGACTATTGTGATTTTGTTGAGCCCTTTTGAAGTTCTGATACTTTTCAGTTAATCTGTGAATTTGTAAAAGTTAGCCAGGCAATTTCCAAATTGACTGATTTTACAAATTGACTGTAACACATACATAGGGATTATTATACGAACATGTGTGTCATAATGGTTTTAGACAAACGCCAAACTCAGCAATATTCCAGCTATATGACGGCGCTCTGCAAATAATCGAGTCTGGACCAGACAATCCAGTGATTGATATCATGAGCATCAATCCATACAATTGGGACATGCATCAACCAAGTCAGTAGGCCTGACCACCCGTTAGTCGCCTCTTAGGACAAGCTGTGCCTTTTACGGCAAACATGGGTTGCTGCAAACCTATTGTAACCGGATCTTCACGGATCTGACAATCAGGAGATAACCCTACTGTCTTTTGAAATTTGAGGTAGTCTTACTGCAGGTACGCTGCCTCTTACTTTAATTTGGAACCGAGCGCTTTACATGTTGTCAATCATACCAGTGTTAACCCAAAACTACATGAGGACAAGGTCTACACAGCATAACGTGTCCGTGTTTGTGGAGTTTCATCTTGACAAATGAACACGTTTGAGCCGGTTGTTTGTAAATACTTTATTCAAAGCAAATTCCACAAATCATAAATCCCAAGTGTGGCGCATTTGATCAATTATTGTTGTAAAATAAATAATAAATAATAAAAACATTATATTGATAATTATGCTGGTATGACTACATACCATATGGAAGGAATCATGAAAACATAAAACAAATAATCAGCGCAGTATTTATTATTAAAAAACAACTATTGAATAACCCCCGATAATAAACAACTGATAGAACGTTCATTCTGACAAGGACATGTTGTAACAACGTTTCACAGCTCAATCTGGAAGTGGCACTTCGTTGATTTCGATTCAGTACTGGAGACTGGTGTCGTTGTGAGTAGCTTCATTTTTTTAAGAATGATAAACAGTAGGAGCTATGTTCATTTTGAAAGCAGACTCCGTCTCTGCGTAATTGACACAGGCGTTGCTCCATTAGGAAACCGGATATTGGACAGTGTGTGCCATTCGAAAAAGACGAACACAGCTTGACTGATATAATATACAACAGCCCAAATAAAGACACACACACGCAGGGGCAGACGCACGCGCCCACATACACACACACACGCAGGCGCACGCGCCCACGCACACACACAAGACAATTCCTATTGGACCTTTGAGTCTAGTAACTTTGTGTGTGTTTGTTTAACGCTGCATTCAGCAATATTTCAGCTATATAAGGTCGTATGTAAATACTCGATTCTGGACCGGACAATTCAGTGATTGACATCATGAGCATCGATCCACGCAATTGGGATACTATGACATGCGCCAACCAAGTCAGCGAGCCTATCTACCCGATCCCATTAGTCGCCTCTTATAAGTATGCGTTGTTGATGACCAAGAAGTGTTTCTCTCTGTACTCGTGCTCGGCAAGTAATTCAGTTAATGTTGTTTTTCAATCGTTTAATACCATTCTATGGTAACATTGGATTGCCTGGTCTAGACTTGCTATCACAATGTCGAATGTTTACATTCGGCCGTCGTATGGCAGAAGTATTGCTGGGTGCGACGTTAGGTAGCAAACAATTTCTTTTCTTAATGAGTGAGTTTGTGTTTGGTTTAACGCCGCTTTAAGCAATATTCCAGCAATATTACGGCGGGGGGACACCAGAAATGGGATTCACAAATTGTACCCATGTTGGGAATCGAACCCGGGTTTGGGCGTGACGAACTAACGCTTTAACCACTAGTCTACCCGACCGCCCACTACTTCTTTTGCGTTGTATACATTGATAAACTACTAGATTTGAATGGATGGCAGGACGGGATGCAATTGGGAGTAAACATATAATGGCTTCTGTGGTGGCCACGACAAACGCGTTCGTGGGGTATAATGGGGTCAAAAGTGAGGGAATTTGGCGGATATTTTTTTATTAACTCCCAGAATATTATTCTGTAGCTAGTGAGATAATTTGAGTCTCAAGATGAGAAACAGATAGCACCGATTCAGACTCAAATATCACATAGCTGTAGCCTAAAGTTGTGACGTCTCTTTGTATGTTAATTCTCACTCGGGAAATACGCCTAAATAACGAAGTATATCGCCGTCAACATATAGTTGACCTCAATGGTCATGAAATATATTGTATTTACATTGCAGGCACACCTTCGGTAACGCGGTGCGCCTATCTCTACTGGGATGGGCTGAGGGTGTGTGAATTTTAGTACACGCACGCTGCAGACCCAAGGGTTGTTGAGACGTGTCACTTTATCTCATGGCGTGTATGAAAAGGCTTATTAATCTTAACCCTTAATACATGTACCCGGGGTATAAGGCGCTACGAAGTAATATTATTGTAATATAGGGCCCGAAAACGCGATTAGGATCTTCGATCTGCCAAACCCATATCCGTCGACTAGATGCATGGGGTGTCCCAGCAGGTGCTTGAAAATAATAAAGTAAATATCAAATGTTCCGTCCCCAATCCTACCCTATAACTTCTTTCCGTTCCCATGAGCAGTGGAGGCTATATCGGACCAATTGTCAGGCCAAGCAACTTTGAAGCCACGCATTCACACAACATTTATTCTTCTACTTTTCACCAAGATCATTAATAAACACACACGAATACTCTTCTTATAGAGACCCCTGTCAGACAAAGCAGGATACCATCAATGTCTAGAGCTGAATACACCATCAAATAGTCTCCAGATTCCACGAAACCGAAAGGAATACATTAACCTGATCTTACTTGGAAGTTATTGCAACAAAAGGCACCCACGGGTTTAGAGAAGCTTTAATAAGTCACCACCAGCTCTTTTCCATATCCATTTAGACCCTGAATGGATTTTGTATTGAGACCAGATGGTTTTTTTAACTATAGCTGCAAAAACAAGATATTTTTTTAATTAAAACTATGGGGCAAACCTTTTTTTATGAAAATTATTTTCTTTCCAACTGTTGGAAGCATAATCATTTTTAACAATATTTTCCGGAGTCATTTCTTTTTTCGATAAAATACCATACCATGCCATGACTGATCAACCATAGTCATATGAAACAATTAGGTGTTATTTAAAGTAGTAAACAGGTCAGAATCAGGTCTTCGGTAACATCCAACATACTTTAACATACTTTAAGGACGGAAGCATGAACCAGACAAGGGGATTCTTCTACCAGTACATGGGCATAAATTCTGGAGAGGTATAATTACACTTTGTGAGTTGTCGTTTCATGAAACAATACATATTGTCTTCTCGCTGTCTAAAGAACGCTGCTATCCTCCCAAGTCCGCTGTTGGTGAGCAGCAGCGTGTCACAATGACTCAGCGCTTCCTGGTCCAGTATCACCTTCCGGAAGCCGTCACATTGAGGTGCCTTGTCCACATGCGCAATGACACCCGGAAGTGTTACGGAATTATTTGGGAAACGTCTAAGGCTCTCCTTTCTTATATTTTCTGAATCTGTTGACACAAATATTTTATATTTTGACGTATCGTTATACTGTTCCAGAAATGTCCATATTGTTTTCACACTTTCATCATCGTTTCTTGTCTCACTATCATTTGGAATGCTTGGATTCTTCCCCATACGAATCTGTGCGCAAATAAGAGAATAATTCCTTGGAACGAGAGATAGGAATTTATCCAGATCCTTTTGCAAAGGATCCTTTAAACGAAACAACGTCCTCCACGATCTGGCATAGACCTCATCCAGAGTAGCGTTCACAATCCATCCTAGATTATTCCTGTGTATATTATTCTTCTTCAAATATCGAGCAAAGTCTTTATTGAGTGTGAGGTATGTTATATTTTCTGTGAAAATTTTGCTGACGTCAGCAGTCGCCAGTTTCTGTCGTAATGGATTTGCCGATCTATCGAGCTTTTTTAACGTCTGCGATTTGAGTTTGTGAGTCTCTGGACTGACTATCCAGTCCACCTCGTTAGGGCGAAGAAAGTTAGACATCTCGCAAGGTTTGTTCATCTCTATGCCGAATCCACGGCCCGTCATTACCGACATCACGTAACCAGCAACGATACCCTTCTGGCGATCTGCATATCCACCGCAGAGATGTCCTTTCAAGCACCTGTAAATTATATACGGAGTTGGTTTGACCTTGACCTTCTTACCGGATGTTGCATTGATACCTGACGCTTCTGGTCCCGCCATGCGGACACTTGAAGGATGCATTGTAGTCACCAGATGGTGTGGTGTGCTCAACTGTGCATAGCTCAGCAGTTGACCTGGAGACGACCGTTGTATGGCTTGAGGGAGGCCATTAATGGCTGTTGTTGCTGTGACATCGGCAGGATGCACTGGTAGGTACCTGGAGACCAGGGACATGGTGACAATGGCGGTATTGGTCTGGACTACCACGCTGTAGAGGGCTAACATGACGGCGCCCGTAACGACACTAACGACGACGACGACGCGACGGAACATTTGCTGCGAGACAAGACGAGAGAATATCTGTAAGTGAGGAGATAGATGGAACTGATGACGTCACTTCAGAAACGAAACAATGGTGGCGAATGCGTCCTGGCTATATATCATAGTTGAATGGAGATGTGATACATTAGAAAGAAAGTCCCTAGACAAAAATTGCCGATCAAATATTTTCTGCATAATTACTCGAGTTAAGCTTTCAAATGGCTTTATGGTACACATGTAAAATACATTAATAAATCTTCCACATTTGACGCATCAGTGATACTGTCCAAGAGCCAAAGTTTCGGCCCTCGGATGGTAGCTCAGGGTGATGACGGATGACAAAACTCAGGGGTGAAGTTTAGACGACAGCAGCCATGTTTATTGATGCAGGTCGAAATGAGTCGAAAAGGTACATTTTGATAATAACGTGACAGAACGCACACCGGGACCGACTGGCCAATCTCTCCCGGGTGGGAGAACCGTTCTGTTACTTACCTTTTGGCAGTCTCCAGGCTGTCTCCCTGACTGACCATGTCAGTCGGGTTTTGTAGAGAGAGGTATTACGTAACGTGTGGCAAGGTCATTGTCCCACGTGTATTTATATACGTGAGATCCGGCGATGTAAGGAGGTGTTAACTGAAATTTATAGATAGCGCTGGAGATTAAGGGTCCTGCCCGGAGGGGCTTATGATAAGAGGGGATACGCCGAATGTTTGCTGAAAATATTAAATTATAGTTAATATATTATATGGTCCAGCCTCTCTTATCTAATGGATCGGCAATTTGGGGAACTAAGGAATTTAGCTGTATAAATGCTGTCCAAAACCGAGCGTGTAGATCTTTCTTAGCAGTCCGTATAAAGACTCCAAATTTGGCTGTCCGTGGTGAAATGGGCTGGACATCCTCATTTACAAAACAAAAAATTGAAATTCTTCGGTTCTGGCGCAGTTTGCATGTTGCAGATCAATCCCGAATGCTGAGTATTATTTGCAGATGGTCAGTAAAATTCCGTAGATCCTGGAATAATACAGTTTTCAACTACTTTGTCAGTTTACATTTACCAATTTATGATCTAAATAATATTTCTACTGAAGAGTTTAACTTGTCTAAAGTATGTCTGTCATCCTTAGACCATTCTGATTGGTTACATGGGCTCTGGAACGATACGGGCCAGTTAAATGGTAATAAGTTACGTACATACAGATTGTTTAAAGATTCTTTATCAGTAGAACCCTATGTCAGTTTATTGATGAACAGATGTCAGCGCAGTATATTAAGTAAGTTTCGCTGCGGCTCACTGCCATTAGAAATAGAATTGGGAAGATTCACCCGCCCCAAAACACCGCTTATTGAAAGTATGTGTAAATTCTGTAATTGCAATGCCGTTGAGGATGAAATACACTTTTTTGCTGAATGTTCTCTCTATACAGATTTACGCTATGATTTATGGAATTTAGCTTCTCAATCAACTCGAAACTTTATACAGATGTCCGCTGCCGATCAGACCGTGTTCTTAATGCGGAACAATAGGGTGGTTAGACCCCTAGCCGCGCTTCTTCATCACATGTATCAGCGAAGACAACTGTGTCTTTCGTCTCTACCAACTTAGTCCAATGTATTTTATTTCTTAGTATCAGAATGTTCTGACAACTGGTGATAACTTATGATATAGTATGTACTGTGATATGTCTCATTTTTACTCCTATGTATGTGACGTCCTGTGTGTCTCGTAGGCCACAATGGCCGGACACTGTACACACTATTTATGTATTTTTATTGTCATTGTTGTACAGTGTGTGACACGTAAATAAAATAATTTTCTTCTTCTTCTTCTCTTCTATTAAACAGACAAAGGGCATAGAATTTCGGTGCACTTGGAAACATTTTGAACCAGTTAGGTATTTAGATAAATGAAATGTAAAATAAAAGTATTGAAATGGTTTGCACTATTTTAAGTAAAAGTATTGAAATGGTTTGCACTATAACAATACAAATGATGTCCGATGCAATTTCTTATTTTAAACTGTACCATAATGATCCCGTATTTTATTCAGGTGAACAATTGACTTGCCTTTGCATGTGTTTGTGACGCGTGGCACCGATTGGGCAGTATACCCTCACCTTTTCGCGAACACACGGTATGAAAACTATTTGACAGTGATTTATAAACACGTGTTTATCATATAGTTGGAATCGTACAATCCACTTTTATTTATTATTTTATTACTTAGTTTGAGATTTCTTATGAACATGGAAAGCGTTTTGTCGTTTTTATTTATTTAATTTGGTTCAACACATTCTGAGAAAAGAAAAATGAGAAAAGATCATCTGTATCAATATACGTTAGTTGGCTTTCACGATATTCGTATCGAAAAAAGAGTGGTGGGGTAGCTTAGTGATTAAAGCATTTGGAGGCATGGGGAGGAGGGGAGGGGAGGGGGGGGGGGGGGGGGGGGGTATGTTGCACCTTTCCTGGTTTCACCTCCGACATATATCTGATTTTTATAGTACCAAAAAAGGTTAATGACGAAGCTAAAAGCTATCCATCGATAACGGACTTCTCGACCCCATTGCCTCATGTTCATTGCCCTATCGTTGTCCACGACGTACATATCAGTCAGGGTATGCATGTACAACACAGACAGATCATCAATGTATCTAGAAATCAGTAACGTTACAATGCCGATTAAGTAAATCTAACCTGTCAATACGGAAATTGAAAAATTCAATAAACTCACGTCAGTTTCACGTGTTCCTGCCATCCGAATTCACTGAACCGATGACACAACGCACGTGCTAACGGAAGTTGCACGCGCAAATCTTGAGAGTCAAAATAAATCGTGCTGTTGTCGACTGGGAGGGGTGACGATTGGGTCTGCACTCGCTCATAGAATTTCGTGTATTTCTTTATATAGTCGAGGGTCATAATTTATTTTTATTTCCACAAGTACGTTAAACCCTATTCTAAGCATCCTAGAAACCTTCAAGTGAAAGAACGAAGATTGCTTTTTGTCAACCGTTTTAACTTGTCTGATAATATTTTTACCAATAGTTCACAGATTGTGTTCAATATGACATTTCCAGCCGGCCCAAGGAGGCGGGTATTTTTCATGTCTCGTCCTTTGGAGATCAAACGACCAGTCATCAGTCGACCTAATGGTCGAGTCAAGTCCTACAATGAGGACCAGGTACATTATACGACATGCATATTAAATTTCAAGGCTATTTCAACTGAGTCGCTTTGACAGTTTCCTTATAGTTCGTTTGTGTAGGACGTCCTTGTTTCGATACTTACACAACATACACAGCTTTACTTGTTCAGACTACAGGATGTTATATGGCTTATCCTTATCCATATGTGTACAGTGAAAGGACGCTGCGGTCAAAGCATGATACTATAATATGGGTAGCATTGAAACATACAGAATTCATTACTCGGGTATTTGTTGGTTGGGTTGGGTTGGGTTGGTTTGTTGTTTAACGCCGCACTCAACACTATTCCAGCTATATGACGGCGGTCCATAAATAATCGAATCTGGACCAGACAATCCAGTGATCGATATCATGAACATGGATCCACGCAGTTGAGATACAATGACATGCATCAACCAAGTCAGCGAGCCTGACCACCCGATCCCGTTAGTCGACTCTACCGACAAGCACAGTCGCCTTTTTCGGCAAGTATGGGTTGCTGAAGACCTATTCTACCCCGGATCTTCACGGGTAAAATGTTGTTCTGATGCAGACCTCAATATCATCGTTTATTATGGCAGCCTGTAACTCACACTGGAGTGAGTGAGTGAGTGAGTTGGGTTTAACGCCGCTTTTAACAGTATTCCAGCTATATCACGGCGTGTCAGCGTAATGTGGGAGGAAAGCCCGAAATGATGCAGGTCTCAGACGTTTACCACTTCGGTGAAACCCACGAGCACGGGTATGGTGCTGACAAACCTAGAAACATAATCGGGGCGAACCGGGATTCGAACCAACAATCATAGGTTTCTGGCGTGCCCAAGGGACGCAACTCTGCACAGCGAATCGCGGCGATACACTGTACCGATATGCGGAGCCGAACTCATACCTTCGGCCCGACGGGTAAACGCATCTACCGCTAGGCTACCTTACTCTCGCCTCTAGCATAATAGTAAATATATTGTTATTATTTGTGAGGGTCGCCTTGCATAAAACAAGGTTCAGAAGCTGTTCATGTTTACAGTCGCAAAGAATATTTTGTTTTCTATAACAAACCTCTACAATGAAATTTAAGGTATTTAAAATTTAAAATTAACAACGCATCCATTTAACGGGTCTAATTGTGGATGCATTTGTTTGTGCTGTCTACAACATGTGACTCAACGATAGCTGATACCACAGCCCTTTGTATCATTATTATGTTTGCTAATTGTTTAACGCGCACTCAGCAATATTCCAGTTGTATGACGGCGGTCTGTAAATGATCGTGGCTGGACCAGACAATCCTTTAACTGACATCATGAGCTTCGATCTACCTCTGTGTTATACACCGATCCGGACATATGATATGGTAGGCTGAGAAAACATTCCTTTGAATGCTTGATGACCGCCTCCGTGGTCTAATGGTAGAGCGTCCGCCCGGAGAGCGGAAGGTAGGGGGTTCGATCCCCAGCCGCGTCATACAAAAAGACGTTAAAAGATGGTACTTGTTTGTTACCCTGTCTGGCGCTCGGCATTAAGGGGCTAAAACAAGGACTGGTCGGCTCGGAGTCAGTATACTGTGTCTGAGTGGGGTATTCATGTTAAACAGCGGCATGGTATCTCAGTGTGCTAGCACTATAAATCGGCATCAGTCCGAACTAGTACAAGCAGCCACACACATATACACGTGCATGCACGTCGCTATATAAGTGCAATTATCTTGGACGCGACGTTAAACCCCATTTCACCTCACCTCACCTCACCTTGAATCCTAGTTATTTGCACATACATGCACATTGTAAACAACTGACACACCGCCACTTTTAGTGTGTATTTGCACATAGTGTTGGAATCGATGTTGACACTTCATGAATTATTTTGAGTGTGCCTCTATGTTTTTGGGTTGTTTTTTTTAATTTTTTAATCAAATATCGGAAAGAATATCCAATGACTTAGAACATTTCACTTTTCTTGACAAATAACACTCAACATACTTCTCCTTGCGTTATTTTAGCCTATTTGTCCGACGCATTGAAGTTTTCAGCAACCCATGTTTATCGTAAAAGGTGACTATGCTTTTCGAAAGAGGTTTTGTTTGTTTGTTTGTTGTTTAACGCCGCACTCAGCAATATTACAGCTTTATGACGGCGCTCTGTAAATAATCGAGTCTGGACCAGGCAATCCAGTGACTGATATCACGAGCATCGATCTACGCAGTTGGGATACGATGACATGCATTAGCCAAGTCAGCAAGCCTGACCACCCGGTCGCCTTTTAGGGCAAGCATGGGTTGCTGAAGACCTGTTCTAACCCGGATCTTCACGGGCATTGTCGTAAGAGGTGACTAAAGGGATCGGGTGGTCAGGCTCGCTGACTTGATTGATGACTGTCATTGTATCCTAAGGGCAGTGCTCATGAATATCACGATTATTTACAGACCGACGTCTCATAGCTGGACTATCGCTGAGTGCGGCGTTAAACAAAAACAAAACAATAACAGACAAACATGCGGGCTCTTATAACCCATGATTTCCCGCAATGCATATAACTAATTAAATATTCCACTTGATCCTGTTAATTTCTGTACTAATACCCGGGCCCATGAAGAACCGGGGTAAAATAGGTTTTCAGCAATCCATACTTGCTGTAAAAGGCGACTACGCTTGTCGTAAAAGGCGACTAACGAGATCGGGTGGTCGGGCTCGCTGACTTGGTTGATGCATGTCATCTGTCCCAACTGCGTGGATCGATGCTCATGATGTCAATCACTGGATTGTCTGGTCCAGACTCGATTATTTACAGACCGCCGTCAAAAAGCTGGAATATGGCTGAGTGCGGCGTTAAACAACAAACCAACCCAACCCAACCCAACCAACAAATACCCGAGTAATGAATTCTGTTTGTTTCAATCCTACCCATATTATAGTTTCATGCTTTGACCGCAGCGTCCTTTCACTGTACACATATGTCGTAAACTTTATGGCCCGTTTTATGTGTGTACAGCCGCCATAAATGATAAGGATAAGTCATATAACATCCTGTAGTCTGAACAAGTAAAGCTGTGTATGTTGTTTTATTATCGAAACAAGGACGTCCTACACAAACGAACTATAAGGAAACTGTAAAAGCGACTCCGTTGAAATAGCCTTGAAATTTAATATGCATGTCGTATAATGTAAATGTGAAAATAACGTTTGCCAAAATGATTTAGATTTAACGCTAGATTTATAGTTAATCCGTGTTTTGGATTTTATTTCTAGATATATGTTCTGTTATTAATAAACTGTGCAGGTGTTAAAAGGACACTGGTCGAAGTCGTAGATCTCCGACACGTTATATACTACTTAAAAGAAGTTAAAGAACACCCGATTTTTCTCGCGTGACTATAGTTAGTATGTCATGACTGGTGTGTCTAGCAACGCACCTGTTCCACTTGTGGGTATTCTTTAACTCCCGAGTACTTATTTCGCAACATCCGGTTTCACTCAATATTGAACAAATATTGTGCAAGAAGTATATCACCTACACTCATGAACATAGGTTGAAGTAAGTGTTAAAATCATCAGTACTGAACAGAACGACGAGTTGAGAGCCATTAATTCTCTGTACACATGTGTCTCTCAATAGTGATACCTCTCCCGACATTTGAACAAAGAAATTCAAATGGTTTCACAGATTTTATAAATTATCTGAACATATTTTGTCCAACATATAAACCGTTTCAAGAAAAAGACTCCAGCAATCTAATAGGTATCTGCACATTGAAAATTATAAATGCTATCAAACATTTACCACCTTCATGTATGTCTGAAAACAGTCGCTGAAACTCTGCAGACTTAGGGTCCAAAACACAGCTATGATATCCGTTTCAAATAAATCATCAACGAATAACCAAATCTTGCTTGTTTTATTTTTAATCGCCATCAAATATAAGTGTATACTTTCCTTTGCCTGGCGGTTAAGTAAACAGATTGAACAGTGGAGCCACGTTCCACGCACACACGGATATCTCAATATTGATCCCCATCACAACACAATAGAACTCGAAGTATTTAAATATTATATATATTATGAACATATTTGTTCAATATTTTGTGCTCTATCTTCTGTTGATTATATCATTATTTCTCTACTTACCGACATTTTTAAGCCTTGGTTTTCTTTCCTCCTTGTCACAGCACGTCAACAACAAAGGACACCTTCACCTGAAACAAATGCAGGTTTAGACCATATCTGTCGATACCCGCCTACAAACAAGGCGCCGAAGGTCCGTGTGCACAATGAAGGTAAACAAACTGAAATTCACCCCACAGAGGGTAGCCTTACTGTCAGTGTATAAAGACACACCTCACCTTTTGGGTAATCCGGTGCATGACGGACGCTGCTGCCTTGAGAATGAATCAAGCAAAACATATTCAAAACTAGCAACCTTACAGTTAGCATACACTGATTGGTCGTTATTGTGTTGTCGCCTTGTCATCTCACTCACAGGTAGCATTCAATGGACGGTCGATGTCGCCATAAACAGTGAGCATATCAAGAGTGCTTTATAGTCTGTGTCATCAGCTTCCACGGGTGTTGTCTTGGCAACCCCAGATGAACACAATGCTTTTGGTGTTGGTAATTTCCTTCCAATGGAATATGCATGCGAGGTAGTAGGAGAGTTGATTAATTGCACATGCATAATGAATAACTGAAAATCTCCTGCCACTGGGACTGTCTAATTCAATCCTTAATGGATAATGTATACGATAGTTATCCCATATGATTGGAGTCAATGGACTGTTTTATGCCCAGGGGTGGTGTAAATTAACTTTTTTAGAACTCTCCTTTGACATCACCTGTAACAGTTTTCGAAGAGGGGAAATGGGGTTTATGTCGCGTGGGAGATTATTGCACTTACATGTATATAGCGACGTGTTTGTGTACGTGTCTGTGTGTGGGTGGTGTGGCTGCTTGTAACAGTCCACTGATGACGAATTTATAGTGCTGGCCCACTGAGGTACGTCCAGCAGTTTAACATGAATACCGAACTCAGACACAGAATACTGACCCCTAGCCCCTTGTGCCGAGTGCCAGGCAGGGTAACAA